GGTCTCGGAACACTTCTGTGGTTGTCTTTCCTCCTTTGCCAGTTGGCATTTTTGTTTTCCCCTTTTCTTTTACTGTTAGATCTCCTCCAACGTGATTATCCGAGCGTAGTCCTTTTTTTTTTTTTTTTTTTTCACCCTTCTCTAAGAAACGTGTCATATTTTTTGAAAATGTGAAGGTTGCCCTTCGACCGCTATAATTCTGTATCTGCATTGTACCGCAGTATGCACTTTCCTTGTCATATAGCGCTGGGGGGAAAGGTCTGTCACTGCCTCATGTACACCCTGTGTTCTTCTCCCCCCGGCCCCCCCCCTCTCTGGCCTCCCCTTACATTCCAGTCGCGAGTGCCCGCCTTGTCTCTTTTCCTTCGGAGTACATTTTGTGCCCAGGTTGCCCTCGCCCATACGTTGAGACCGCACTTGAATCTGAAATAGTATATTATAATAGTGTAATCATTGTAATGTTTATGTTAACCAAGACTGTCACAGTGCTGTGCTTTACGTGTGCAGTACAGTGGTATTATTTATTTATTTTCGCGAGGTTTGCGAGAGAGGTTTGGGAGAGTGCAAAAGCGATGCACGACAAGTTAAAGATGAACGTCGAACGCACGCCCATTGCTGTCAGGTCGGGGTTCTCTGCACCGCATCGTCCGCTCGCGTGGGCGACAGAAGGCCACAGGCAGTGTTCTCATTCGTCATTGGGCGCTGCGGCTCTTGTCCCTCGCTTTGTGATGTAGCTCTTTTGTGTCAGTCTCTCTTTTTCTTGTCCTTATTCTCCTGTTTTTTGCTCTTTTGCTGCTTTTTTTCTCTTTTCTTGACTCGTCCCCCTCCTCCCCCTCGTCCCCCTTCTCCCCCTCCTTTTCACTTCTTGTGCCTTATGCATAATCAGCCGAGGTCTCTCTCTTTGTGTGGCTCTCTCTGTGTCCTTAATTTTGTCTTATCACCGCTCTTTGTGTCACCTTGTTTTCACTTCCGTTCATTGTGTCACTCTTTGTGTCATTGTGTCACTCTTTGTGCTCTTCTTCTGTCACACTCTTTGTGATCTTCTTCTGTCACACTCTTTGTACTCTTCTTCTGTCACACTTTTTGTCCTCTCTCTATGCCACACTCCATTTGTGGGTTTGTCTTTTTGTGTTGTTGCATGCATCAACGGTGCAGGTACTGTGGTACCCTTGTTGTTGTACTAATCGGATTTCAAAATTGCCCCTTGTTTTATTTTAAACTTTTAATAGAAGTCCCTTGTTTTGTTTTAAACTTTTAATAGAAGTCGTTTTGTGACGCTGGAAACAGTCGTGAGGATTGACATTTTGTCGGACTGCGTGCATGCAGGAGTTAGTCGCGAGCGTTGGCATTCGAATGATAGAGATAATACCGCCATTAATGTCTTCAGACTGGAATTGGCACCTTTTTTTTTTAATAAGCATTCTTATGTAAGTTGGCACTGGATGTAGAGGCTTTGCTTTTGTGGTATCTGCTGGGGGGGTCCGATCAGAAGGTAGTGCCAGGGAATTCGAGCTTGTTTTGCAGTTGTGGTAATGGACTGACAGTTGATGGACTCGTCTTTTTTCTGTTTCTTTTTTTTTTTTTGAGGGGGGGGGGGAATGTGAGTTTGTAATTTGGACTGCGAGTTTTTGATTGGGCCTGCAATCCTTGGTAGATATGCATTATTTCAGATTTTGACTGGGGGTCAAGCCTGCTTCCAACCGTCGGGTACATAACAGGCATGTAGAGGGGTATATATAGGGAAGGTAGCACAGGGGGAGTCGAGGGCTATACCCAGGTTCTTTACCGAAAATAATCCAGTGATTTTAGTTTTTTAAATCTGATTTTTATTGCAAATTGCTAATGTCAAGACAAGGCATGCAATCTTTAGATTAGGTGAGGAAAAAACAAGATGCAGTTGGTGCTGAGTTCGTATGTTCGTGGACACTGTGAACCCTCGTGAAAGTCCAGGCTAGTTTTCCGGCTGAAAGATGTCCTCTTCCTCCTCCTAGCCTCGCGGCTGTTCTCTGTGCCTGTTTCCATTTCTCCTCTCGCTCCCTCGTTTAAATTTGCCTCACATGTCTCATAACGTGTTTATGGTCTTTCGGTTTAATATGTGAAACACACTCCCCTGCATCCTCCTGGGCCCGTCTAGTTGTACAGCGTGTATTTTTTTTTTCTTCTTTTAATTATTCGAAAAGAACATGGAGAAGGTGGACCATTTCGTCTCGATTTATGCCTGTCATTTTTGTGCAGGGGCCACACTAATCTTCTTTCTCTGCGTCGTTCCAATTTTAACGGATATCCCAAAGGACGTGTTTTTTTTTTTTTTTTTTTTTTTTTTTGGAACTACGAGGTATAAAGAATATGCAATGAATTCGGTAGCTCGTCTGTTGAAGTTCTCTGCTACGGCCTAGGGGGGACGGACTTGCACTTGAAAATTTTGTCCATTGCATCTGCCAGTGGGTGGGTGGACATGCGGCCTGAAACATACAGGAGAGTCCGAGCGTGAGTACACGCCCATTCCGAGCGCTCGTTATCATTACTGTATTATGATGAGATGATGTTTACCCATTATATATTTTCACTAACTGGGTATTGGGTGGGTGGTTGCGGGCAAAAGGAGTCCACCTTGGTAGATGTATGGAATGTGAGCGCTGTCTGTCATCAGCACATTCACATCACCCACTTCGCGGCCTTGGATGAATACGTTGCATGCATGTGGCTCACAAAGTGACTTGTGGGCTTTCTTATGGGTGGGTGAAACTCCGAGGAATCCGATTCGGAAGAGTCTGTCACAGCCCTTTGCTTGTTGTCCTCTTCTCCCTCTCTGCCTACTACGGTGCACCGGGCACCGCACAGTTCTCTAGGGCAATATATTATATTATACAGCGTCCTGATGAGTCAGGGGAAACTCCGACGAAAGTCTGTCATGGCCCCTTGTTTGTTGTCCTCTTCCATCTCTCTGCCTACGGTGCACCGGTGCACCGGGCATGTCTCTGTCCATACAGCGTCCTGACGAGGAGGTCAAACTCGAGGAAACAGGCTGTCACAGCCCCTTGTTTGTTGTCCAAGTCTGTCATGGCCCCGTGTTTGGTGTCTGAGTCTGTCGTGGCCCCTTGTTTGTTGTCCTCTTCTTCCTCTCTGCCTACGGTGCACCGGGCACCGGGTAGTTCTCTATCCATACAGTGTCCTGACGAAGTGGTCAAACTTGAGGGAACAGGCTGTCACAGCCCCTTGTTTGTTGTCTTTTTCTTCCTCTCCGCCTACAGTTCGCCGGGCAGTTCTCTATCACAATACATCTGTATGCATATCTATATGGGAAAAGTTATAAATTCCCTGGTGGTGAAACGTTTGTATTCGTTCGCCCCCGAATGGGGCAAAAGTTGTGGCAGGCCCCCCAAAATAATTTCATGTCATTTTCCCACCCCCGGTAGAGCCTGGAATTCTAAATTTCCCGGCATTTCTGCACAGTGGGCCCCGCTGGCGTTACCAACCCAATCCGTGTGCAAAAATGGCATTAAAGTTATTTTATGGGCCTCCCACATATTTGTGCCATTTTGGTGGTGAACAAATACGGAGGTTTTGCCGTGGGGGGATGGATGGTGGAATGGAGGACGACGTTGTTCTTTGAATTCCTTTTCCCTGTCCGGTCCTGGCGATGATGGGTTTACTTCCTTGACCCAAGGGTGACATCAACAGCGGCCTAGAGGTCTGGAGGATTGAAAATTTCAAGCCGGCGCCTCTTGACAAGGAAAATTATGGGAAGTTTTACTCGGGAGACTCATATATCGTTCTCAAGGTAAGAGGTTGCTTAATTTTTATCTCGACTAAAACAGTTTTCACTGTGCTTTTCCCCTCCCGTGTTTTTCTTCCTCTTCTTCTTCCTCTTCCTTTTTCTTTATCTTTTTCTTCTTCCTCTTCTTCTTTATCTTCTTCTTCTTCCTCTTCTTCTTTATCTTCTTTTTCTTCTTCTTTATCGTCTTCGTCTTGTCCTACTGGTTCTTCCTCTTCTTCTTCCTCGTCTTATCTTCTTCTTCTTCCTCTTCTTCTTGCTCCTCTTCTGTATCTTCTTCTTTATCTTCTTCCTGACTTCTGCCCCTTGTCCCACAGGGAATTGAGTGACTTCTTTATCTTCTTCTTCTTTGTCTTGGGGTTGTCCTACTGGTCGGTGGTCTCCACTTGCGAGATCGATCGCAATGAATCATGTCTGCTGAACTTTGTTTTTTTGTTTTCCCATTTCAGACTCCTCAACACGTTCTTCTTTTCTGTGCAAGGGTTGTCGTCTATTGGAGAAGGAATTGATGACAATGTATCTGATACATGGACCAGGAGTTCTGAATTTGCCGTCTGGATAAAGAAGTAGAGGGAAATGTGCAGCTGGTGTATAAAGAAAAAACGACACCCAAAAAAAAGAAGTAAAGAGGATGAAAAGAAGAGAAAAGGCAGAAATAAAAGATGCGGGTGGAATAAATTGATGACGATGTATCTGATACATGGACCAGGAGTTCTGAATTT